GAGCTATGTAAAAACACGTATGTGGTGAGGTGAACAATTTTCTTACTTGAACTAGGAACACCAAACAGGCAGCCCCTCCATTTTTAGCTGTTTGAAATGCTTTGCAGAAAAGCTTAATTTAAATTTTTATAATACCACATTGTATTTTACAATACGATGAGATTTAAATATACCAGTCTCAAAATGTTTACTAAAAGGAAATCATGTTTTTCTTCATGTTTGGAAGATTCAGAATATTAACACAAGATTGGTTCTTACTCATAGTGGAAGTCTTGTATTCATTTGTCTCCAAATTTATCTTTTACCTCTTTTCCCAGTTTTTATATGTGTTAGTAAAAAAGCATTATCCACTTTCCACAAATGATGGTACAATTAAATCATACTGTGACTTATGGTGTGTCATATTAATTTTATTTTGATGACCTGATACTTGTAAGAGGAGAAGGCAGGCAATTCTATTGCCTCACAAGAGTTAGGGCATCACACAATTACTACTTTGCTTTTATTTTCCTTGAATCCATACAAGAAACAAATGTATATAACTCTTAATGCTATGTGATTAATAACTCACCAAGACAGCTAATCCAAAAATAAAAACAAAGTTCTTTTTAATGCCATGAGCATAAATTCGTGGCAGTGTGAGCGGTGGCCCACTGTCTAACACATCCTTCTTGTATACACAGTAAAAGCCAGTTCTATATCTGGTCCTTATCAAAGCCTAACTTTTCCATAGGTGATTTTTATAGTCTTTTAACTGGCAATAAGAGTTCTTTGGCTTATGTATTACATAATAACCCAAAACACTTACATTGGTGTGTACTGTATCAAGGACCATGAAAATATTCATGGTTAGATCCAGAGATTCCATCCCTTAAAATTACATTCCAAAGAAGTAATTATAAACATGGGCAAACTCTATCAAGAAAACTTTTCATTGCATTAAGCAAAATCGTAAAAAAAAAAAAAAAATTACACCAGAGGTAGGTGTTTGGCCTGGTGTTTGGGATGCTGCTTGGGATGCTTACATCCCATGACGGAGTGCCTGAGTTTGAATCCCGTCCAGTCCAAATTCCAGCTTCGTGCTAAGACACTGTGGTAGGAACTACTGATGCCTCAAATAGTTGGGTCCCTGACGTCCACGTGGTAGAACTGGGCTGAGTTCCCCAATCTGGCTTCTGCCTGGCCCAGCTCCAGCACTTGCAGCGCCTGGGGAATGAACTAGTGGAGAGGAGCTCTCTTTTCCTGTTTCTCTGCCTCTCAAGTAAATATGAATACATTTTTTAAATGAAAACAAGTTAAACACTAGAATGAGAGCTATTTGAGTAAATTAGAGTCATCTAATTGATGGAATCTTTTTTTACAGCAATTGAAAATAATGGAAATTATATTAAAAGCCAAGGAAGATGAACATTGTGATTTTTACCTAAATAATTTTTACTACAGTAGTGTATTTTCCATTAGAGAAAATATGAAAAATAAAGAGAGTAGAAAGAACACAATTATAATATTCAGCAAGAAAAGCAGAATGCAAGTTGTATCTCTGATAAGATTATAGTTGTTGTTTTTAAATAACAGAGCAAGAATATTGAGAGTAGTTTTGCTGGGTTGTATTCCTTAATAGATTATAGGTAACATAATCTATAACTTTAAATAATTGATATTTTTTAAACTAGGATACTCTCCCTCGGAGCATTCTCTCATTCTTGCTGCCCAATGAATTTGCAAAGCATGGGACCCAAAGGACTGTTCCACGGTCTTGCAAGGTGGGGACTGGACTCTGACTTCACAAGTATGAAACTGAGGCCAGGAGGGGTGAGCCAACCTCCCAGGACTGCAAAAGCCAGCACTGGCAGACAGAGATGGACAGCTAGCTCTGACTGTCCTCAGAAGGCCTGCCCGTGTTTTCCCCTCATGGTAGCAGCACTGTGAGGATCCAATGAGGCCAACATTACCACAATGTCTGCTAGACATGGTGGTGCCACCTCTCCCAGAGGTTTCAGGATCACCTACTCTTTCTAGGCGCTCCCCCCTCCCCCCCATAGAATGGAGATTGCCACTGAAAAACAAACGAGAGGCATACTATTCTGTTACAATTCTCTTTCTCAACCCGGCTCAAACCTTCTTGTAAGGAACTTCTGATCCGTAAGCCGCTGCTTGAAATAAATGAGCCCCTGACCCGAACTTGGGAACGTTTGCCATCTGAGAAGATCATTTGCTTTTGGTGCCTACAGATAAATGACTGTTTAGAAACAATTAGGAAATTGCTGAAAAATCAGTAAACTTAAAATTCTTGTTTTGGAAAGTCCCTATAAGGGCTTCGCTTTGTTTATAGAAAATAATGCCCCAAGTTTACATTGTGCTTACCGTTAGATCCATTTCAGCTCCACACCAGTGTATGTGGGTGGAGGAGGAGTCTTTTTAAACAATGTGCGTGGGCCTGTTCTTCACCCTCAGTTCAGCAGTGAGCAAGAGGCGGCTGGGAGCACTGGGACGACAGAGGTGGATCATGGTATCTTGCCTTCCAGCGCTGGAACCCTGCAAGCTTCCTAACTGTGCTCTCCAAAGTGTGGAGCGCACCCCTCGGCACTCACCGCCTGGGAGCTGAGCTGACCGTGCCAGTTATATATTTCTCACGTGCATTTGTTTGATTAACAATACATCCACACGGTTCAAAATGACAAAGACCTGTAGGGGGATTCAGTGCCATCTCCTTTCCACCCACTCTGCTTTGGGCGTCCCTGGCCCAGTTCCCAGTTCTAGTGAGTAAACTCAGAAATCCTGAGAGGCCGTGAAAGGCAACCAGAAAGACGACTAAATTTAATCTGGATGAAAGGGATGTCTTCCGAGACAATTCAGCTCACTGTGCTTATTAGCGGCTTCATACCCTCCTCTGAGTTTCTTCCTCCTCTTCCTCCCTCACCCCTCCCCCTCCTCCTTTTTCAATTTTAGGGTTTTCAAAATTTTAATTTTAAACTGTTATATAACATTCATACTTCTCATACTATTTATGAGGTACCGTATTAAAATGTGATCCATGCGCACAATGCATAATGCATCTCCAGCCCCTCAACTGTTAACATTTCTACATATTGGGAACCTTTCAGCTCTTCTCCTCTGGTCATTTTGAAGTGGATAATAAATTGTCGTAGACTGTCAATTCCCTGCCCCAAGTTTTCTCAGACTTCACACAGCAACACTCAGCTAGACTACTAAATAGTCACAGCACCTTTTCAAGAAATTCTGGCTTTGAACTTTTTTAAGCTGCAAAGGAAATGGTTCACCCATTTCTCTCGAACTTTGTTGATAAGAAATTCTATTTTGTCCAATTTATCATTTTCTTTTTTAAAAAATGTGCTCCCCACCCTGCTCTTGAGCAGAGAATAAGGGAAAGATTCGTTTTTGGACTACTTTGAGATTTTTTACACCTTAGGCTAAAACAAAGCACACAGGATTGAAGCTATCAACAAAATGTCCTTAATTTCCCTTTGGCTAATTCAGTATTTGTAATCCGAGATTGCTGAACCCCTCATTTATCAAGAGAGGGTGTGGGGCGCAAATGGACAGCAGCAGCAGGAGGCTAAGGAGCCAGCCCATCAGAGCTGCCCTGGCCCGGTGCCGGGCATCCAGTGGTAGTACAATGGTTAACTGATCAACCCATGCCTGAAGCACTGCTACGCTCAACAAATATTTTCCACAAAAAAATTCATTTTAGAAAGCATTTTCTAGGGAGAGGATTTAAGGGCTTTTTGCTTGTTTTAAATAACAATTTTGGATTGACCTACAAATAGGGTTATTTTGCAAGGGGAGGAAACACTCCCCCACCCCCCTCAGCGTCTGACACTGGAGATTTACTGCTCACGAAGAACTGATCAAAATCCAGTTCATTTCATTCAAAAAATAGCGTGGGCACAGTGATTGATTGCCATTTTAGCAGGCAGAGCTTTGCAGCAGGCCACACACTGTCCGTCGTGGCACACTGTTTAGGAGTGCAGTTCTAAGGTGTTCTTCCCTGTTCTATTAATAAAATCACTTCATCCATTACACTCGCTCATTTACTCGGTCTACACACGTTTGTGGAGAGCCCACCCACCGGGGACATAATGCCGAGGCCCGGTGCTTGCCCTCACGAACGTGCAGTCGGCTTTCCGTGAGCAGTCACCAGGGTCGTGCTGTTGGGGTGCATTGCGGATCCCCGCCAGGACCCGGTGCCTGAGTGCGTGGCCCCGCTTCCCCAGGCTAGCCTTTGCCGGGCGGGCTCATCCGACCAGCCGCAGCCGCTGCCCCCCTGAATCCCGCAGCCCCGAACCCCGCAGCTCCGACCAACGGAAATGAGCCGAAGGCTGAGTGGCCCGGGCCGACGCGGGCGAGCCGCGCGCGGGGTGGGCGCGGCCACCGGCCCCGCCGGGCGCCCGCGGGACGCGCCGCCTGGGCCCTGTCCGCCGGGGGCTCGGCACTCGCCCACCTCTTCCAAATTTAACCATTACCTAAATCCGAAGGGAAATGAGCAAACCTCTCAGATTGGGTGTCAAGGTATTTTCAGCCTCGTTGGGCGTATTTATCCCGAAGTGTTTCCACAACAAGCTATTTCGGGTCCGCGGGGCAGGTTTCGCTCTGCGGACGCCGCGGCCACTCGCCGGGCTCCAGCCCGGCGGCGCCGCGGGCCGGTGATTCACGGCCCGGACCCGGGGGCGGCGCAGCCCGAGCAGGCGGCGGGTCTGGGGGTGCCCACGGTCGGAGCGGCAGGGAGGCCTCCTCGGAGCCGCGCGCACCCCCACCCCGCGCCGCTCCAGTCAATCTGTGTCCCGAATCTGTGACTTCTTCTCGCTGCGGAAGCCTCCCGGGAGCCAAGAATAGTTCTTTTTCTTTCGAGCCATTTCTAGTGCCTGGGTGTTCCGACCTCCGGGTTCCCCCAGCCCCTGCTCCCCACCCCCCACCCCGCACACATACAGGGCCGCGAAGGGGCTCCCGGAACCGGGGCTGGAGAGGCCGGTCCGGTGTCCGCCCCCAACCCCTTGCGCAAAGAGGGAGCGCGCCGGGGCCTGGGGGCAGGTCTGCGAGGGCTCGCGGGCCGCTCTGTAACGCTCAGGAAGTGAAGCTTGTGGTTTTGGGGGCTGAGCTCCGAAGGAGATTAAAAAAAAAAAAAGTCAGAGAGCGGGCTCTCCCGAAAGCCAGATCCCATTTGAAAGCTCTCGGAGCGCGGTGCCCGCGCCCTGACCTCGCAGGTAGGTCCGCTGTCGGGGGCGGCTGCGGGGACTGTCCGGGCACTGGCACTGCGGGGGGCGACCCGAGGGCGCAGGCGGCTCCCCACCTGCTGCCGGCTGCTGTGCGAGAGCGGGAGAGGGCTGGCCGCTGGGTTCCGGCGGGACCCGCGCGCCCAGACTGGAACTGTGGGGCTGGGGGGCGCGCACAAGAGGTGGTTTTGGTGATTCGGCAGGGGAGTGGGATCCACCAGGGAAGGAAACATCTGGTGGCGAGGCGGTGGCCGCTGAGCTCGGGAGGCCGCCCCCTCAGCGCCTTTAGCGCCCGCCTGCCCGGGCCCTGAGCTAGAGGAGAGGCCCCGCGCGCCCGCGTGCGCCTAGGGCACCGCCCCGCCCCCGGCTGCCAGCTGCAGCGCCAGGTCTCCTTCCCACGCGCTCAGCCCCAGGCCCTGCCGCCCCCCATCCCCCGCCCCCCTGCAGGAACTGGCAAAGCTGGCCGGGAGGGAGGCGTGGGTTTGCCTCCCTGCCTGGGAGGCGGTGTCCACGTCCGCGCGCCGACCCTGCTAGTCCAGACCCATCGCGGGAGCGGACGGCCCTGCAGCCCTCCCCCGTTCGTGCTGCTCCCGGCTAGCGTGCTTGGATCCCTAGGCTTCGCTTCACCCCAGTTTCTTCTTCCGAGTTCCATGGTTATTTAAATAATTGGTTCGGGCTTTTGTGCTGATTTGTACGGCCAAGAGTGCAAGGTGGGTGGGTGGGGGACCGAAACAGCACAGTCCCAGCCAGGCCTTGGAGCCAGTCCGGACGCAGGCGAGCAGCACCCTCACCCCTAGGGGCAAGCTGGCTCTGCAGTCGCAGGAAATGTCGCCGGGGGCCCCACGACATGGCCCAGCCGTCTTTTCTCCCAGGCCTTATCCCCAACTCCTCCAGGGAAGGGACGCCGTGGGGCTGAGGCCCTGCAGCAGAGACTGCGCTCCCTACAGGGGTCGAGGCCTCCCCAGGACTCGTTTTGAGCCATTGTACCAACGGACAGACTCAAGCTGTGTCCCGCATCTCGTCCTGGGAGCTGAGTGGCTCCTAGTCCGGCCGTGCGAACCGCGCGAAGCCGGAAGACAAGGGGTCCTGCCCCTGGCCTGGATTCCCCAGGACCCTTGTTTCGGACCCAGCCGAGGCCACCAAGAGCCTGCCAAGGCCGCAGGTCTCCTGGGAGCGCGGTCCCCATCTCCTCCGTCCCGGGAGGCCGGCAGATTCGTTCACCACGGACCTCAGCGGCGGGGTCCCGCCTCCAGAGCTGGCCGGGAGCTGAGCGGGAGTTGCAGCCCCGCCTCCCGCCGGGCTCAGGTTTCGACCCGGGATTAAGTGAACTGATTGGGGGTTAATGAGAGCGACACAGCGGGCGGCTCGCTCCCTGCTGGGCTTGCGGCCGACCCCGGCAGTCTGGCCACCGCCGGAGCAGCCTGCGCGCTCGGGCGTCTGTCTTGCCTTGTTCCCTAAACCGTCGGTGCTCCAGGGATTCCGGACACCGTGCGCTTCCCGGTCAGCGCGCCTGAATCGGGTTCGACTTCCCTAGGACAAGATTTGGGGTGAGCAGATTGGAAAATGCTTCCTCCCCCCCCCGGGGGGGGGGGCTTGGTTTCCGAAATTATTTCTACAACGTCTGGAGTAGCTCTCCAGGGCCCCAGCCTGTGCGGGCCGCTCCACCCCCCACCCCCCGCCCCGCGGCTTCAGAGACAACCGTTCTCTGCGTGGGACAAGAGTGAGGGGCGAGCGGGATCTCCCGGATGCGAGTTTCTCTCCGGACTGGGGTTGGTCGTCTGCCATCCCCTTCACTTTTCTGCCCTCTGCCCTGCTGACTGTTCTCCGGCTCTGCTGGCCCCAGCTCCTCTGCTACAGTCCTTCCCGACCCCGCCCCTTAGTCCAGCCTAGCGCGCCCCGCCCCTGCCCCCCTCAGGTTTGCAGCGGGTTCTTGGAGGTCTTCTGGGTCCTCGACCACTGACGTATCACCAGCCCCTGAACTGATCCGCCGGTCCCCGTGCTCCCTCCCCAGGCCTGAAGCTGAGCCAGGCAGGCAGTGGGGTAACCGAGCCGTCGGGTACTAGGGCTCTTAGGAGAGCTGGATTGCGGGAGAGAGGTTTGCTAGGCCAGGAGCGGGGCGTGGGGGCGTGAGCAGGGCAGGGGAAGCGGGGCCTGAGCTAGGGCCCTCCGGGGACGGGTTTTACCGCTGAGCCGTGGCAGTGGTGGCGGCGGACGGGGCTTGCGCCACCTGTCCGAGTGCCACCTGGTGAGCGCGGCGCGGCGGGGCCAAGCCCCTCCTTCCGCAGGCCTTCGCTCCTCCCTGGCCCGCGCGCTCTCTGCGCCTGAGTGCCCAGTCCCAGGCCCCGGAGGGTGCTGACCCGCATTGCCATCGGGTTCTCCTCGATCCCTCCGTCTCAGATCTCCGGGCCGGGGCTAAGGAAGCGCTGGGCTTGACCGTGGGCTGACAGCGGCTCCAGGGACCCTCGGAGCGGAGTAGGGAGAGTGCCGGGCCACCATGCCGCGCTCATTCCTCGTCAAGAGCAAGAAGGCTCACAGCTACCACCAGCCGCGCTCCCCGGGACCAGATTATTCCCTGCGTTTGGAGAATGTACCTGCGCCAGGCCGACCAGGTGCGAGGCGCGCGGGCCGGTTGGGGCTGCTCCTGGGGAGGCGACACACCGCTCACCTGGAACCGGGAGAAGCAACCCCTACGTCCCATTTGCGGCCGAGTTTTTGTTTTTGTTTTTTCCTCCTACTGTCCTGGTTCCTCCGGGGCTTGTCGCCTCGATGCCACGGCCTCAACGGGGCTGGAGCTCGGATCCCGGCGGGTTCCAGTGAGGGTCTGGGAGGAGAGGGAGGACGCCTGGGTGCTACGGACTGGCGCCCCTTCAGAGTCCTTCGGGCAAATTGGACCAGCCTGAGCCCCTCTCCTACCTCCTCTCCGCAGACAGCACTTCCAGTGCAGGCGGGGCGAAGGCGGAGCCCGGGGACCATTTGTCCCCCGAGTCGCAGCAAACCGAGGCCCCCGACAGAGTCTCCACGTCCCCGGACAGCTGCGAAGGCAGCGTCTGCGATCGGAGCTCGGAGTTTGAGGATTTCTGGAGGCCTCCGTCGCCTTCCGTGTCTCCAGGTAGGGCCCGGTTGGGAGCGCCTAGGGCTGCGGGGACCCGCGGTGCGTGGGCGCAGAAATGCTAAGTGGGTGGCTGAAAGAGTCTTTCCTGCAGGAGAGAGCTTGTCCGAGGGGTAAGAGGCGAGTGGGCTAGCATCCTGCCCGCCGAGTCCGCTGTGCCCACCCAGAGCGGCGGGAGCCCAGCTGCTGGTCCCCAGCACTGGTTTGCGCAGGGAGCCCGTGGGTGATAGAAATACAAATCAGTCGTCTCCACCGGCAACAACGTCGGTGTTTCGTTTTCTGACCCGTGTCCCTAGAAAGTGCTAGGATCCCAGAATCCAGACCTCTGAGCCTACAACGAACGGAGCCCTGGGCAGCTTGGGCCTGGCAGAGCCAGCGCCGGGAAGGAGGAAGGGGTTTGGGATAAAAATCTCAGCCAGCGGCTCGGTCGTGGCAGGCGCAGGCGGGGGACCTGTTTCATTTTTCGTTCGGTCAGGTTGGCCTAGCCTCGGGACCAGCCCACTGGGGTTTCATTTCCAGCGAGCAATCGAGTTTCCCGCAAACCAAGTGACTGCACTTTGGGTGGGGGCGAGGCTCGGTCCGGCTGGGGAAAGAAGGAAGGTGCAGACGGCGGCATTCTGTCAAGGGGCCGGTTGCTTCCAGTTTAGCTCTTACTGGTGTTCAGAGATTCCACCACCACCCACCAACCCCAAACCCAGTGAGTGGACTTGGCCAGAGCAGAGCTCTGCGGAGTCTCTAGGAGCCAGTGGCGGGAGGGTCCTTCCTCGCTGTGCGCTACGCGGCCGGCAGAGACCGACCTCTCGGGAACCCCTGGCTTGGAAACTCCGGGTACAGTCTCCCACTGCAGCAGGCGGCCGGGTCAGGAGACTGCAGGCGGTGTGTGTGGGTGTGGGTGTGGGTACGCGCGCGCGCGCGCGCGCGCGAGCAGATTTGAAAGTGCGCGTGCACTCGGATACATTGGGTATCTAATTTTAGCAAAATGCTCGCAGTAAGGGGCGAGGTTTCAGAAAGCTATTCTCCTGGCAGGTGGTGGCTAAACATTACTAATTGTAAAATTACTCTCCGAGAAATTCGGGCTTCCCCATGAAGCTATGTAACAGGAATGGAAACGGGGAGTACTTGCGGGTGACTCAAGCCTAAAGCCCTTTTCCAGATGTCCTTTGGCTACCTGCTCTGGGCTCTTAATTTTAAGGACTCTTAACACCTGGTGTGTGTGTGTGTGTGTGTGTGTGTGTGTTTTCCAGCTGCCATCTTGGGTAGCCTGGGGCCACTGTTTTTTTTTAATTGATCTTCTCCGTCATGGATCACAGGAAGAAAAAGGATTGAATGGAAACACGTAGGGGCTGGGAAAGGGCGGGTGCTAGCCACCGTCCACAAGCGCTGTCCAGGGCGGGAGCGGCTGCCGCCTTGGCCTCCCGCACAGCCCAACTCAGAGCTTACTAAGGCACCTTTCCCTAGAGGACCGCGGGGAGCGCGGGTCCAGCCAGAAAAGATCCCAGTCCCGCCGAGCGCTTGCACTGCCCTCGCCCAGAATTAACCCAGGTCCCCACCCCTTGTCGATTTAACCGTTTGCTACCCTGTCGCCTCCAGTGGCCTGCCAGGCCCCTGGCCGCCTTCTGCTTGGGGAGCATCCCTAGCACCTGGCGCAGGGAGGGTTCTGACGGGGAAGGGCTGGCAGCGAGCAAGCTGAAGCCTGACCAGACGCCCCTCTTGTGCCTCCACAGCCTCGGAGAAGTCAGTGTGCCAGTCGCTGGACGAAGCCCAGCCCTTCCCCCTGTCTTTCAAGCCGTACTCGTGGAGCGGCTTGGCTGGCTCCGACCTGAGGCACCTGGTGCAGAGCTACCGGCCGTGCGCGGCCCTGGAGCGTGGCGCCGAGCTAGGCCTCTTCTGCGAGCGCGCTCGAGAGCCGGGCCACCCTGCAGCGCTGTACGGCCCGGAGCGGGCTACCGGCGGCGCGGGGAGCGGGGCGCCAGGGGGCTGCGGCGCAGGAGGCGGCGGCGGCAGCAGCGGCGCGGGCCTGGGGCTCTATGGCGACTTCGGGCCCACGGCGGCGGGACTGTTGGAGCGGCCCCATGCAGCGGCAGCCGGGCTGTACCCAGAGCGAGGCCACGAGCTGCTGGCGGACAAGGGCGCTGGCGTCAAGGTGGAGTCAGAGCTGCTGTGCACCCGCCTGCTGCTGGGCGGCGGCTCCTACAAGTGCATCAAGTGCAGCAAGGTGAGGCTCCCGCTCCCGCGCCCTCAGCCCGCACCCTGGCAGCGCCCGCTCCCCGCAGCCCCTCTCAGCGGCCTTTTCCCCGGCCCCACCCGTCTCAGGTGTTCTCCACGCCGCACGGGCTCGAGGTGCACGTGCGCAGGTCCCACAGCGGCACGAGACCCTTTGCCTGCGAGATGTGCGGCAAGACCTTCGGGCACGCGGTGAGCCTGGAGCAGCACAAAGCCGTGCACTCGCAGGTAAGCGCGCGGCCCCGCTCAGGTTTCCGCCCTCGGGGTCTTGCGCTTCTCCTGGGCGCGGCCTCAGCCGCCTGTGCCCGGCAAATTCCTCCTACCTGCCTCCAGTGCGCTCTTGCCAGCCGCCGTGCGGTGCGCCCTGGCCCCGGTGTAGGTGTGCAGGGAAAGGTGGGCCGCGGCCGGCTCTGGCTTTGAGGCAGCCCTAGGTTTTGGTGTCACGTCATTGTGAGCCTTGAGAGTGATATGGATCATCAGTGTGGGTTTCGGAAGGTTTGTGTGCACCGACTCTTTGCTGCTGATACAACAGATTTATTAGCTGATTCTTTGCCTCTGTTCTTTGCTCCAAATGGCTGTCACTTAATCTGCATTGGCCCCTCCCGACTGAAAGGGCAGGACCTCGGCTGGTTAAGAGCGTCCAGTAACACATTTGTCGTGCCGTGTTTTCGTTGGTTCAGTCATAAGGGTGCATCGTTGCCTAACCTGGCAGGTGCTGAGAGACACAGTGTACACCGATAGCTATACCGGGAGAAAGCTCCTTTACCAAGGTTGACTCACTGAAAAGAGTCGGCTCATCTTCCCCAACACCCGTGCTGGCCCAGGGTGGGGTGAGGGGGCGTCTCAAGTGACTGAGGTTGAAGCCTGTTGTGGCGGGAGGTGGAGAAGTGCGTGCAGATGAGTGTCAAGAGTGCAGGGTGGGGACCCGATGTCACCAGAGGGTGAGGGCTGTGGGTGAAAAGCGTCGTGATAGAAAAGTTGTGAAGGGGAAGGTGTGAAAGGAGGCGACTGGAGAGTGGAGCCGGGACGCTGCTGCGCCCGCTCGGGAGGCAGAACCGCGCTGCGGGGCTGCAGGCGCAGAGCGTGGCGGCCCGCGCGGATGCAGCAGGAGTGCCACGTCTGTCTCTCCGCAGGAACGGAGCTTTGACTGTAAGATCTGCGGCAAGAGCTTTAAGAGGTCGTCCACCTTGTCCACACACCTGCTCATCCACTCAGACACCCGGCCCTACCCCTGCCAGTACTGCGGCAAGCGCTTCCACCAGAAGTCAGACATGAAAAAGCACACCTTCATCCACACAGGTGAGCCAGCCCCTCGCCTGCCGTCTCGGCGCTGTTCCGGTCCCAGTGCGTGCTGGAGGAAGCCTTCTAGCTGGAGTTCATCGCTGTTGTGCTAAGGAAAGCAAAGGGACCTGTTCTCCTAGGCTCACTGGGAGACGCGGTTCTCCCCAGAGGAGCCCGGATGTCAGGGTGTGTCTGAAGGACCACGTACCAGGTCAGCGTCTGCGCTAGGAAGATCTGCTTTCCTGCAGGTTTGCAGCTGCTCCACGTGCTGTCCGCTCCAGGCGCCTCCCAGAGCCTTGCTCTGAATGTTTAGAGATTGAGGACTTCCCCTCGACCCTACCCAGCCTCTGGCAGAGAGGCTCCTGTGTGGTCCCACTGGCTGCGTTTTTAGGAGTCTGAATGCCTATTCTAAATGAGAAAAAAAAAAAAGGCAAATATTACTAAGCTCTCTGCTGAGAATTTTTAATGCTCACAACACCCCTAAGAGGTCGGGATTGTTCCTTAGCCCCCTTTTAGAGGTGAGGAAAGTGAGGCCACAGAAAGGTTAAATAACCTGCCCAGCTAGCAAGCTGGCAGGGCTGGGGTTCAACCTCAGGGCTGTCTGACTTCTCAAATGTCTGTGACCTTGACCACTGTTTATCATATTCTGCTTTCAGAGTCATAGAAGTTGGTAGAGGCAGAAAGCTAGTCACCTATTGCCCTTCTCAAAATGCCAGCAAGCTCCTGCCACAGTAGTGACAGTTCCTTATCACAGGCGCTGTAAGTTATGAGTGCTTTCAAAGTCTCGTTTGATCCCGACTGCTGCTTCACAGAGCAGAAGGAGCTGCTCTTCGGTCTGTGCCTCAGAAATCAGGCTGAGTACCTACCTCATGGAGCCACAGAACACTCTGGCTCCAACCCTGGACTGCCCCGTGACACTTTATGTGCAGGTGGGGCTTTAATGCCAGGAACACTCTTTTATAGTGGACAAGACATTTACCTGAGACAGAGACTGGCAGTTTTATTGCAGAACATGAATACTGATACCAAATAAATTGTAGCTTGTTCAGAAGTACCCACCGTTAATGTGTACAGGCACACTGGTTGCTGCAGATATTCTCACCGGAACACCTGAGAAACACCCTACTTTAATCCCGCCCCCAAGCCTGAAATTTCCATGTATTCACTCCTCGTAAGTGAGGGTATTGAACACATTTAGCCAATTTCAGGTAGGATCTCGGCTGAATGAAACTTTAAGCCCTTATCCATCGTTTCCTTTTTAGCTAGAGTTCACTTCCCAGATTTGGTGGACTGCAAAGTGGTGAGCTTAGTTTTGCTGGGTGGTTTCTGATCAAGGAATTTGAAGCGAGAGGACAGAAGGGAACGTGGCAGGAGGGACAGCAGTGTCCTGGAAAACAAACTTCATGTTGTGTGTGTGTGTATTTTTTTCTCCCTTGCTGTAACGGCCAAGCTGGGGCTGTTTGGAAATCCACGTTGTTTCCCCGACTGTTACACACAGCACGTGATGTGGAGGGAGGAGCCCTTTTCGCGTTCTATTGTTGATTAATCTGCCAGTGAAGGGTTAATCCTGTGATTAACCTCAGGAGAAGAAAGTAAAATCAAACCAAACCAAAAGGAGCAGCTACCCTGAGAAACACACCGTGGCGCCCCACCCCACCCCACCCCCACCCCCACCTCCAAGATGTGGGTTTTCAAGTGAGAAGTGTTCTTGCTTCTGACCTCTTCTGCTGTCCTTTGAGGGCGAGAAGGCAGGCGGGCTCACTGGCACACACAGACCAACGCCCACTTGGAAACTCAGATTTGAAAACTTCCTCTGAATTAGAACAGTCACACGGTTTGTGGGACGGCTCCCCGCCCCCTCTCCGTCCTGTCGAACATCTGCTGGGCGGGCTCTCAGCCTCTCCAGGCAGGGGGAGTCCTCCCGGGCTGGCTCCAGCTGGGGTGGAGGGCACGTGGCCTTGCCCCTGTTTCCGCTCAGCAGGAGACGGTTTGAGGCCTTGGGCTGGGAAACCCCACTCAGAAAGTCTCCCTTTTCACCTGGTGTGCCCCTGGCTTCCTGAGCCCCGTGTTGCAGGCTGGGAGTCAGTTCACATTTCAACATGTCACCCTCCAGCTTGCTCGAAGGCCTCAGACTGCAGGGCAGCCAGCTGCTGGTGTCATCACACACTCATCCTTCCTTCCCTCTCCCTCCCCTCCCCGCAGGTGAGAAGCCCCACAAGTGCCAGGTGTGTGGCAAGGCCTTCAGCCAGAGCTCCAACCTCATCACCCACAGCCGCAAGCACACGGGCTTCAAGCCCTTTGGCTGTGACCTGTGCGGGAAGGGCTTCCAGAGGAAGGTGGACCTCCGGCGGCACCGGGAGACGCAGCACGGGCTCAAATGAGCAGGCTGGCAGGCAGCGGCTCGGCTCGCACAACACTACAAGGGCAGCCCCCCCCAGCCCCCCGCTCCCACCCCGACTTCTCAGGCCTTCCAGGTCAGCTGGTGGCTCCTGCAAGGATGTCCTGGAGCTGTCGGGGGTGGAGGGGGGCCGAGGAGCATTTCCGGAGGACAGCCAGAGTGGAGACCCCCAGGAACCTGCTGGGCCTTGAACACCAGAGGGTGCAAAATCAAGTGGGGGCGGGATGAAACCTTCCCAGCCCTGCTCCAGAGACAGGGAGATCCTCGGGATTCTCCCCTCTTCCTCCAGATCCCAAGTGGGAGGAGGGGACTCACCTGTTACAAGGTGAACAGGTGGCCCCGTGCTAATGTGGTTTTCCAGAAAGATGAATGAGTGTTACTTTTTTTTTTCTTCTGGGGGTCGATTGACCCCTTTCTGTTGGGTGCTTGTCTGTAGATCTTGGGGGGAATCACTTCTTCTCAAAAACTGGTTCAGGAACTAATTTGGAGAAGGAGTTTAGTACTTGGGGGATCAGGAGATACACTGTGGAGTGTCCCTCAGGAAGGAACGGACTTGGTGATGAGAGGGGCTTGGAGGCCTCTGGAGACTTCCTTGGAGGAGGGAAAGGCATGGAGCAAAGCCTGCAGACCAGGTGTCATTCATTCATTCATTCATTCAGCGAATGTGTGTGGACCACCAGCTACCAAGGTACCAAGCACCATGCTAGGTTCCAGCCTCTGAAAGCTAACAGCTGCACCTGCTAGCGACTGGTCTGCTCTTTCCCCTGGAGAGAACTCTGAGAAGACAACAACCCAGGATCTTGAACCTTCCCTTTGGACCCTGCTGGATTTTACCACATGTAAACAAACAGCGGCTAAGGAGTTATTTCAAAGCCTCTTGTGTATATTCAGTGTTTTCTTGTGAAGCTGATACTTTTAAGATGTCTAGCCGACAGGCAGGTGGGAGAGAAGCCTCTGTCTCCAAGGTTCTGCCTCTCCATGTGGACCACGTGAGGGGAATGTGGCATTTTCACTTTGGTGACATTTGTACGCATTTTTAGATCTTCTGGAGTGCATTATGTGTGTTTAATACGTATTTATTAGAGTGATGTTTTAAGTTAATAAAGTATTAAGACTGGTATACGTGGCCTTTCATTTAGGCAGGGAATCCGGGGGAGGTGTACGTCTTAGGGTGGGGGTGGGGATGCTGGTGCTGAAGGAAACTGGAGAGGAGAGTGAAAGCGAAGCAGGCAAGACCACATGCAGTAAAGAGTAAAATCTAGTTGCTCTGGTTCCCACGGACTTTTCCTTCTATGCTCCAGGGTAATTGTTTCTCCGCAGAAACACTAGAAGGCGTGTGAAGCTAAGCTCCCGCACTGCCGAGTCCTTGATGAGCCCACAGCTACCTGGCTCTTTCCTCTGAGCCTCTCAGGGACTTTCAGGCCAGGAGGCTCCCAGACAGTAAAGAAACCAAATTTCTGGCCTTAGGAAATCCTTTAATTTCCTCAATAGCCATTTCCTTGGCCATTAAATGTAGACATGGTTCTGTCATCTCCGTCCATCAATATTTACTTCGATTCTGTAGCCTCGGAATGAGAAGAAGTATCACACCGAGTAGCTGCCCCGCCCCAGGCAACAGAGCAACCAGAAGACGCATGGAGTAGTAGAACTGGGATCTGGATAAAGGCCTGGCCTAAATCCCTGCCATGTGCGCTGACACCTCCCAGCAGGCATTCGGGATCTGCAGGGCCCACGTGACTCCAGTAGGCTGCTCGTTTTCATTCATATCAGGCTCATGTATACTGGGTCGAGCGGCTAGTATGGCCCCAGCACTGTCCTGTGTGTTAGGGGTACAGCAGTGAGGACAGTGTCCTGTGACGCTTTATTAATTTGGTCATTGCTGAGTCATCAGCTCCCAGAATAGTGCCTGGCACACAGGGGGCGATCAGTAAGTGTTTGCTGAGACGGTGAGAGAGGGACAGGGAAAATTGCCTCCTGCTTCATTTTGTGAGCTGGCTCTGCTCTTCACAGCACAAAAGGAAGGGAAATGCCTCGACTGCGTCAGAAACCAGTGGACAGGACCTTCTTTCTGAGCTGGTGGGCTGGGGGCTTCGAGGCTGCTCTTCTCCTGTCCCTCCAAATCTCAGACCTGGGATACCTTCACTGGCTTTCCAATGTGGCGTCTTTCTACTCTACGTTGGTTTTTCCTCTGATTCAAAAGTTGGCTGTTTACTTTGTAATGCAGTTTAAGGTGGTTCTCCAGAACTGATGGGGGATGGACAGCAGGAACTGTCTCCTGCCATCTTTAGAGGCAAAGCTCCCAGTGAATAAAGGTAACAAGATGTTCTTCCCACAGAAGTCACTGTGCCTACTGCTTGCTTGTTTCCAACCTGACTTCAAAAGCAAAGACGTTGCACCAAGGGGTGAGTAGAACTGATTGAAACCCGTCCTGCTCTCCCCTTTGGACACCTGGAACACATGGCCCATTTCATTATCCCTGCTTATGCCATAAATGAGAAGTTGTCATTTCCACGTTAACCGAGTGCCTGTTTTTGGAAAGAATTGTATCTTGAGATCCCCAATTTGGAATCAAAACAAATTACTGTGCCTATGACCGTGTGAAATTTGAAGATTGCAAATATCTCTCTTAATGTTATTACTTGGCTCGATTAAAAATAGATTGAATATTCCATGTCACATAATTCATGAGGCAGGCTCGCTATGGCTTTTGTCTGCTGAGGTAACAGGAGAAAGGGTAACGAGAGACACCGGAGCACACCTTTGTGTCTCTCACTGAATTTTTAATAGCCCCGCCAGCCAGCCAGTTGGTGAAGCTCAGCTCGTGCATAAAAGTGGAAAAGCACAGCTAGCTCTGAGAAGAGCAACCCTTTCAGTAGCTGCTTTGAGTTTGCCTTCATCTGCACCAGGCGGGATTGAATTACCTATCGAGTGTGCTGGGCTATCGGGATTCAGGCCACGTAAAAGGCCAATTTCATCTGATTGATTTGAGACACGGATGGAACAATTGAGTTTTCGAAGCCCCGCCTTCATTAAAGGGCTAGCAAAGTATCACTCCCTGGCGACTTCTTGACTGCCAGTTGCCCTTGAAAACCGGGTGGCAAGAGTGATTTGACCCAAGTTACTTTGCTGGGTGCCCGTTTGTTCAACCCGATCATTTAGTAGAAAGGCTTGAGCCGGAGGAAGATCTGAAACCTTTTACTACATGTTGCCTTGCATTGCTAGAGCGCTTTTGTTTAAATCTCTGCTCATAGTGTTTCTGTGGTGGAAACTTTTCAGGAAGTATGTGATGTACTCACTTTTTTTGCTTTCATTAAGTCAGATAAAAAATTTAACAAAATTTCACCCAAAATCCTCTTGCTTTAAAGTGCATGATGATTTTTTGGTGTCCCTTCCCAATCTTTATCTACATGTGTGTATTTTTGTATTTTTTTAACCCTGTGTTCAGAGTATTTATATCTGGGTAGATATTTCATTTACTTATTCATACACAATATGGACACATTCTTAAAACTGAAACATTTCACAGTAAGAATTTGGACAACTTTTTGATTAAATTTTATTTCATTCTGAGTATTTAGGGATTTTATCAATCATTAAGAAAAAGTGTCTTCTGAAGTTCAGTGTTACTCACTTTGTAAATAAAATATTTTAAGCACACCAGAAATTACAGAGAATAAAACAATAAACAACAGTATACCCACTATTCTACTGCATTTACTTCAGATTTTGTTTTAGAAATAAAATGTTCCAGATATAATTTAATGTTTTTTGGAATATATTCCTCCCTAATCCTGTTCTCTTTCACTTTTCCTCAGAGGCATCTACTATGTCAAAATTAGTACATATCATGCCACATTTTATGCCTTTAATTTATGCATATTCCCGTAAGCAATATGTAATTTACTATTTAGCATATTTTAACTTTATATGATACTATACATAACCTTCTCTACCTTCCTTTTTTTTGCTCAACATTTGTTTTTGGAGGTTTATCCAGATGGATACATGTAGTGTGGTTCATTTATTCTAGCTGCTTCCTTTAGAGTTCTGTTGCATGAATGAGTATTTTGCAGTTTGTCCACTCTCCCATGGGGAGAATTTTGGTCATTTCCAATTTTCCCTACTACAAACACTTCTGAAGCAAGTAACCTTTTACATCTCCTTATGAAAAAGATCCTTTTGGGTATACTCCTGGGAATGGAAATGCTGCGTTTAATTAAACTGCTCTCCAAAGCGCTTGTACCAACTTATACTCTCACCAAGAAGAGGGAGAATTGCTGTTGATCCACAACACCTTCCCAACACTTGCTATTGTCAAACTTTAAAAACACTTGCCAGTCAGACGTGAAATGTCATTGTAGTTTTTTTGGTCCTGAATCCTTACTGAATATATTTTCATAAGTTTATTGGTTGACAGGTTTCTTTTCCTGTGAAATGCCTATCACGTGCTTTGTCCATTTTGGTTGCTTGAGTTGCTTGCTTTTTATTAATTTGTTCTTTAAGTATATTCTGAATACTCACCTCTTAGTACATATTTAACTAACAGTTGTTAACTAAATGTGCACTTTTTCACTTTGAAGAGAAGATTTGTTTTGTTTTTATTTTTGTATTAATGTAGTCAGTTGTATTTCTCTTTTTCTTTATGGTTTCTATTTTTTTATTGTGGTTAAGAATCTCTTCCCTAATTGATGGTAATAAGATCATCCTCTATATTTTCTTCTAAAATATTTAAATTTTTGCTCATAACATTAGCTTTTTAGTCTGGCTGTATGTATATAATGTGAAATAGGATCTAATTGAAATTTTTCCAATTATACCAACATTATTTATTATAAATTCCACCTTTCCCCTCTGTAATGCCATCTGTGTCACATGCCAAGTTTCAGTTTCTGTACGCTCTCATTCTGGGCTTGCTGATCTGTTCTGCTGGTTACTTTGTCTATCTCAATGCCAAAGCCATAGTGTTCTAATGAATTTAAGTTATTTTTCCTGACCTGTTTCGTCCTCTTCAGGAATATGTCAGCTACTCTTGGCCCTTTGTTCTTGCTTGTAAAAAACTCTGTTGGAGGGGCTGGCGCTGTGGCTTAGCAGGTAAAGCCGCCACCTGTGGTGCCGGCATCCCATGTGAGTGCGGGTGCCTGTCCTGACTGCTCCACTTCTGATCCAGCTCTCTGCTGTGGCCTGGGAAAGCAGTGGAGGATGGCCCAAGTCCTTGGTCCCCTGTACCTGCATGGGGGACCTGGAAGAAGCTCCTGGCTCCTGGCTTTGGATCAGCCCAACTCCAGACATTGTGGCTACTTGGGGAGAGAACCAGTGGATGGAAGACCTTTCTCTCTGTCTCTCCCTCTCTGTCTGTAACTCTGCCTGGCACATAAATAAATAAATAAATAAATCTTTTAAAAATTATTTACTTAAGAGGCAGAAAGATAGGGATAGAGATGAAGATAGAGAGAGACCACCTATCTTCTGTTTTACTCCCCAAATACCCACTACAGCTGTGCATGGGCTGAGGCTAAAGTTGAAAGCCAGAAACTCAACCCATGTCTCACACGTGGGTGGTAGGTCAGTTACTTGAGCCATCACTTGCTGCCTCCCAGGGTCTGCATTGTCAGGAAGCTGGAGTTGAGTACCATATCACACCCAGGTGTTCCCACAGGGATGGGATACAGGCGTCCTGAATGGAGTGTTAGCTGCTAGGCTGAATGCCCTCCCCCACAGTTTTTTTTTTTTTTTTAACTTCATTTTCTATTCGTCTGCTTCTGATATATGGAAACTAAATTAATATTTTTCAAGGTTTTTTTTTTTTTTTTTTTTTGACAGGCAGAGTGGACAGTGAGAGAGAGAGACAGAGAGAGAAAGGTCTTCCTTTGCCGTTGGTTCACCCTCCAATGGCCGCCGCTGCAGCCGGCGCACCGCGCTGATCCGATGGCAGGAGCCAGGATCCAGGTGCTTTTCCCGGTCTCCCATGGGGTGCAGGGCCCAAGCACCTGGGCCATCCTCCACTGCACTCCCTGGCCATAGCAGAGAGCTGGCCTGGAAGAGGGGCAACCGGGACAGAATCCGGCGCCCCAACCGGGACTAGAAGCCGGTGTGCCGGCGCCGCAAGGTGGA